CTTTGAAGAGGCTTTGGATTCTCTCTTAAGCAATTACAGTAGCTATTGACCCTGACAGGAAGTTAAGAGAGGCTTAACTGTTGCACACTTCAGAGGCTTCTCTAGCTGGCTAAGCAATATATCTAGAGCGCGGTTCTCAGATGACAGTGCAGAGTTCTGATTTACAGACAGACAATACAAGCCTGTAATACTCTTTAACAACACTAGAGTTTCTGCAGTGAGCAGATCTGTATACAGAAGAGAAAATCTGTCAACAGCCCTCTGAACAGAGTCATGACATAGCCTCATGACTAGGTTATAAATCAAAGTGTTGGCAGATCCATTCTCATCTCGGAAAGTTGAAAAAGTTAGAATCTTCAAGAAATATCTGTTCTTATTGACACAACTGGAAGAAACCTTGTTTCTGCTCTTAAATTAAATATTGTAACACCGTTTGTCATGTTGCAAAGAAAACAAATCTTACTCTTGACTGAGTACAATCCAAGACTATTAGGAGAAGTGGATGATATGAGATTAGCTTACTGTATACCCGAGCCCATTACTACGACATTACAAATATCTAGTTAGAATGGGATTGAAGGTTATAGAGATAAGTATAGACTGAGATGATCAAATGCTTCATGGAACACGATATTTCCTGTGCTGCTGGGACCTTGGGAATGTCATCTGTGGAAAGCAATTGGTCAGGATAGAATTATATAACTCGGTAGCATGGAGGTTTTGTTTGACTGTATTGGGGTTCAGGGAGAAATTGTGCAGACCTTTCCCTAAGGTGATTAAATAGGTGGATAGAATCCATTTCAGGACACATGGGACATCATCTGTGAAAGGAGCAGACTCGGAGAAGACTGGAAGGCTAAAACAATTTTTCTTACAGGGCCTATTTTATGTTGTTAATGTGTAAGGGTGTAAGTGCTGTGTGGGATCATGAATAGAACAGCACAAGAATTTTTAATCCTGAAGCAAGACCTTGAAACACAAGAACTGTCGCAGCCACATCTTAACGTGACTTAATCCCTGTATTTGCTGGTTTACTTGCACCCTGTTCTATGTGAACATTGTGACGTTCTATCTCAATATTTCTCCCATTCTTATTTCACTCTCTATTGACTTTGTTACTGTTCTGTAGCTGCTTTTTAGACATGCTATGTTTTTAGGAATTCAGATTGTACTTTTTACCCTTTTAACAAAAGGAAGTTACAGATGGGTCATATTGTTAGTGTCTATGCAATAGTTTTGTGCAAAAAAAAAGTGTTTTCTCAAATGTGGTATGTTAAAAAACATTTGAAATGTGTTTGTCTATATTTCCTTTTTTTCATATGATCAACTAAGTTTTTTTAGGAAAAACTAGCATTGTAGCCATCAGTAAATGTTGGTGGCCGCACACTGAGGCCACTAAAACATTTCTTTGAGAAACACTGTTCTAGGCTCAGTCAAAACAGATGGTCTATAGTCGAGTATTTGAAGCAGAAAGGGAGAGGGCATACAGAGGGATTTTGGAAGAGACTTCCAGAGAGTGATGGAAAGTGGCTGAAAGTTTACCCTTAGGGGCAGGCAGAACAGGTGTTGATATGAATCAAGCCAGGGTTAGTGAAATGGACTGAGTAGCCAGGGGAATAGCACCTAAGAGATCAGAGAGGTAGGAGTGAGCAATGTAGAAGCATTTCAAGTGAGTTAGTACAACAACCATTTAGCAAATTCCTTGTTGATGAAAGTTTAGAACGAAAGGCAGTTGTAAAAAATAAATCTTAAGATGAAGCATTTCTGGAACATGTATTGAATGAAGGGTATGTCCATTAGCATTGGTGGAGAAGAAAGACGATTTAGGTGTGACTACTAATGATTCACTGAACCTTTCCAGAGAATGGGAAGCTGTTATCAACAAAATTTACAGATATAACAATAGCTAAAGAAGAATCCAGTTCTAACATATTTTGGATCTATTAACCCAAATATCATATTATAATGGGGCACAAAGTGGACACCACACGTCACTTCCTGTGCATTGTGCAAGAAGCGTTGAGACCATTTCCTGAAAAATTGATGAAAAAACATCACCTCTGCACACACTGTGCATGTACACTGGCTTCCCTCATTAAAAAATGTCAACTTGTTGTCAAAGGCACTTTCTACATGCCAAGTGCTTCTTGCACATATCGCGCATGCACAACAAGAAGGAAGTGACGGTTGGCAACCTGAAGACCTGCGAAGTGGACCATTTTTACCGTGGGGTAAGCCTGCCTGCTGAAACATGCCTGCAGGTCCAAAGTCTGTCCAAAGAGGGTGATCTAGTGATCCATATATGCGTGGATCAACAAGTAAGACCATGTTTGGAATATTGGGCTTAAACCTACGGGATTTCTTATACATAAATGTAGATTCTTTCCAGTAATCGGAAGCACATCTTGTCACCTTACAAGAAAGCCTTTCTGACACAATCTACTTCTGGATTAGAGTTCCCCCAGATCAATGGGAATTCTTTAATGAGGAATTTTATTTATTAATAAAATAATACATCGAGGACAGCATTGGGTACAGTTTTATTCAATCCACCTGTCAAAGACATTGATGCATTACAGGGATTCAGAGTGACTTGGAATATTCCTTTCAGGCAAAACTTGCAGAGTTGTACTTATTTACTTATTCATATTTATTCGCCCACAAATACACAGTTCACTGTAATTTCATAACCAATTTCACAACAAACACTGACTGACTCTACATATGTCAAGTAAAATTAGGGATTTGAAAAATATTCCCCCAGAGCAGGGATATAGGAAACAGTCATCCATGTTTTTTTTAATATCAACCAGACACATGCGGAAACCATCACCATGCTTAAGAGTTTCCAAACCGAATTGAAAATGCCATATAGGTGCGTCATCTACACATGGAAATGTCCCTGTGTCTGGAATGGAATGTGCACTCATCTCCTGGACAGATGCTTACCTCAGAGAGCACTGACTGACAAGCTTCTCGTTACTTGTCTAGCTAGGAGCACCCTATCTGTTAGGGCTTTGGCTTGCATGGTTCACAGGAGCTGAGAGATAAGAATCCCTGCCATAGTGACCAGTTTGCCCTTCCAGGTCTTGCCGACGAGACAGGCTAATTGGTCTGCCACCAGCAGCCCTGGAGTACTGCAGTCTGCCCGGGCTCAGGAACTAGGCTACAGAGGGTTGTTAGACTTGATTCCAAATTCCAACTAAAGCAATTGATGCTGTGTTCATAGACTCCTTCTGTAAAAAAACACTGCTTCATAAAAAAGCTTCCAACTACTGACCAGGATTGCACAGCTAATTTATTAAAAGAGCTTTTAGTTGAATACCACACTCTAGCTGAAACCTAGAAAGTTCTGGGAGTGGGGAGGGGAAGGTCTATTATCAGGCGCTGAACAGACTGATTTTACTGACATCAGTTCATTGCAGTGAACATCCCTTGTGGGGATCCTTTTGGCTGTTGTCACTAGGTGCATCTGCTCCAGTATTTGCAGAATAAAATGTAAAAGTTCTGTAAATATTACTGCAGAGTTTACATAATCTAAACTATGAGATTGGTATGAAATTAAAATCAAACTTATTGCGTAACCAATTATTTTTGCACAATTGAGTGCAGTGCTTTTTCAAGTAATTTAAAATATCCACATGCAATTTCAGTTTATATTTTGCACACTCAGTTTGACAGATTGTGTATAGTATTTTACAATCACATTGTTCTTTTGTAAGTCCTGAATGGCTGCAATGTAATTTTTGTTTTGCTTTGCTAATGTAGACTTGTCAAAGAAGATGGGTTAAATAATATAACAGGCAGAATGCTCAACATATGTTTATTCTGTTAGATCTAAATTAGTCATGAAAATGTTAAATGTTTTTTGTGGTCTATATTTCAGAACCCAAATTCTTTTCAGAATATATATTGAAGACATCTTTAGAAAATGCGGTCAAAAGAATTGGCGTGAAATCAGCTCAAACTGCAATTATAAACAAATTGTTTTCTCTTTTCCCAACTGGGATGCACGGCATTTGATTGTGCAAAACATAATTGGTTATACAACAAGTTCCATTTTAATTACCAATTTCATAGTTTAGATAATGTAAACTCTGAAGTAATATTTGTCATTGTGTCAAATTGCAGTATAGCTTCATTATGCCTTTGAAGCTATCCTGCAACTTGGTTTGTAGGCTGTTTTTACTGATGCACTGAGAAACCGTAGCATTCTGTAATGCTGTAATTTTCCAGTGGGTATTTAAATAGATTACAAATTTTAAAAATGGACCATACAACTATGAAACTGCACATATACATGTGTTACAGGTTTTCTGATAATAATAATAATAATCCTTGCATTTAATATAGCACTTTTCATGTCTTCTAGATGTCTCAAAGCGCTTCATAGAATAGACTGTAAAGTGAATTGACTGTATATCTCTGGGCGAAACGCAGTGTCCCTCAAACAGTCGTGGATTGAGTGACCAAATTATTATTGGGTTTTTTTACGGATTATTATAATCCCCGGAAAAGCAATCCACCAATCGACTAACAACCGGGTTCCTACTTACTGCTAGGTAAACAGAGACATGTGGAGTAAGGAAATGTGCCCAACATTTCACCCTGCCGGGAATTGTACCCAGATCTCTCGCTTGTGAGGCGAGTGCTCTAACCACTCAGCTACAGGACTCAGGGCTGATGCATTATAGATGGATATGATTACTAATGTTAATGTTTATTAAGGTTGATCATGATTGAGTATTTTTTGTTATTTTTGCAACTACCTGTAAAAATTCAGCAACTTATAAGTGAATTGTTATAATCTGTTGATCAAACTGATGAATATGGTTGTCATTGTGTGCGAAATAGGAACAGGGCAACATGTGTTTATCACCTACTAAGTGTATTGAAAGCAAACTGACTAACATCTTTATACCAAGAACACATGTTTAGATACTGGACTTGTTTGCATGTTACATGTATGCACTGACCCAGATTGCTTTTGTTTTCTATAGTTGCACCGAATAATCAAGGCTGGAAAAGGTGTTAGTTCATCTCTTGACTTATGCCATTACCATGGAAACCAAGCATTGGAAGCCCTCCGCTGCTTCCCCACATCAGAGGCCACGTCAGCTTTGAAAAACATTGTTTATGCCGTAACCAAATTCTGACTCGTGGAAACTGCACAGAGAGAACAGACCTATAAGAAATCTGCACCGTTCAGCAGCCAACAATCTATGTGAAGAAAAAGAATTCTTAATAATGAGGAGAAAGATTTGTTCTTTTAACTGCAGCGATACTAAGCAAGTGAGCTGTTTTTTTTCTTTCCCCATTGTATGGCTGCAAACAAATTTAGAGAAAGGTCAAACAGTTTTCCCTTGTCATGCCAGAAACACACCGGAGGCAGCGAGGGCAGAAATAATTAATGAGACTTGCTACTGTGACCTCAGCAAATGGACAGGAAATAAGGCCGTATTGATTGGACATAACCAGGGATGGCGCCGAAGTGGTGGCCTGTGGTTTTTCCCTACACTTGGAGGACAGGGAGAATGAGACTGCAGGTGTTGCAAGAAACACTTGGTAACCTGTCTGATAGATCTGCCATCTGAGAATAATAGCCTAATTTATCAACATGAAGGACAGCTTAATACTGTAGATAAATACATTGCCTGAGGCTGTACAAAGAATATAATAGTGAAACAAGTTTCAGCTCTATTTATGGATTATGAAAAGAATTTTTTATCATTTGAAAACTATCAGTGAAAATGTAATCAGAATCTACACTGGCTATCATGATTCAGTCTCTTTTTCGGCTGTTGGGTTTTTACTTGAGGGATTTTCTGTGTTTTAGGGGTTGATTACCTTTCACATGTGTATGTAGTATGTGCTGTGTAATACTATTGTACTAAAGAGAAATCTCGTTGCTTTTCTTTCTATAAAACTACAAACACGTTTTAAAATAGACTGATTTACATGCAAAAAAAAGAAATGTTTCTTTTAATTATTGGCTCCAACAGAGGTTGTACTTTTTGTACAATAAAATTGAGTAAACCAAATGTATCTTCTGTCCCTTCTTTTCACACTGAGTTGGGTACACTTTGCACATTGCTGCAGTGGAAAGCAATTGAAAATAAGTTTCTTTTAACCTTAGGATTTGTAAAACTCTTGAAGAGTAAAACACGCAATGACAGTGGCAGTATATGGGATATCAAGCCTGTAAATTGACACTGTCTCTATTTTGTTCATAGAGATGATTTTTGTGGTTTGCATGCATGCAACCTGAGAGCAACGTTGACAAGAAGGCTGAGTTTACATAAATGATCTGGATTGGGACTAAGCTACCTTTCTTCCTTCTGTGGTGTAATTACAGCCCAACTTTAATCTGAAGACAGCTAGCACAGCAAGCAGATTTTATTACAAGGTTCACTCAAACAATTAGAGGTTTTACTTTCTCCAGATTCCTGACAAATAACATCTCACTGTTAAACTGTAGCTTCTTTTGAATTAACTTTTATCACCTTACATATGCTGTACCGAACAGACTTGGAACACATTTTTTAATTACTTGCTTAAAAGAAAGATGATGTAGGTGTAGAAATCCTCATTCTCAACAAACCATGGGTGGTTCTACAATCAGGCATTGCCATCAGGTAAGGCATTTGCTTTTCTATTGTAGAACCACATTTTTACAACATGACTGACTCCTGACTTGCCCTTTGTTTGCTAGGTTGATTTCTTTGAATGAAATCTGCTTTCATATCCACTTTCCCTTTTGGGTTTGAGCAGGGACAACCTTGGGATACACAATACAATATAGTTTCTTACACATCGGGCGAACAATTGAAAGCACTTGACAATAGTGGATGGGCATCCGAGATGGAGGTGGGAGCCGAGAGAATGGAGGGTGAAATGTACAACAACAACAAGATGACATTTGTATAGCGCCTTTCATGTTGGGAGGACGTCCCAAGGCGCTGCACAGTCAGTGTTTCGAACCCGAGCTGGGTGTAATGTTAGAGTTAATATTGAACCATATTTTGTAGCTGGATTGTGCTGGTGTCTCGCAATGCTTTTTGAGAGGATGTTTTAGTTTTCAGGATTGTTTCAATGGATGAAGAATATGTTGGTATTAGTTCAAAACTAAAACAATGTAGTATGTATTTTTAATAACTCATTTGACACCTCGTGCCAAATACTTCATTCCTTGGAAGCAAACAAGGCTTGCTACTGCCTCACATTCCATAAATGGAAATGTGCAAAATCCTCACCAGTAAACATACATACTTACACCTCAATACTAAAGTTGTAGTTAGTAACCTGTAGACTATACCTCAGACTCCACCATCTAACTCCCACTTGCACACATACATAAACAGTCAAAAATATTGATACCTCTTCTGATAACTCCTTTGAAGGTAATATAAATGGAAGGGGTTTCTGGTTCTTTAACCCATCATGGTTTCAGAGAATCATTGATGGCCTGATATACACCAGAACACTGAAGCAGGTATGTTTTTACAACAGTGCTTTCTTAATATTTGGCTGGATTATTCAGGACTGCAGTGGATACCTTACCGGGGTACAGTCAGTGTGTATTGCTAATTCTGGAGCTATTTGACAAAAACAGCATTTACCCTATGATGAAAAAAACAGGAACATCCAAATAGCAGTCGTGTACACTACTAGCAAAAGGATAGGTATCAATTTTTCTAGGGTCTAACTGAACTCTAGGATATTTAAAAGTACAATTTTATTTATAGACAGTATGCCTAATAGCCTGAAATGTCAATTACAAATACATTTTAATGAAAGTCCTGCTGTTTCATAACCTGAATACATTACTTAAGAAATTACTTCTGTTTTTGTAGATGGCATTTATACTACTTGTAAGTTTTTAATGCGCCTTAAGAGTTAAGTTCTGAGCATCAAAATTTAGATTCATATGTATATTATGAAGCTTAAGAAGTCTTTAATTGGATGTAAATGTAAAATGTATTTTTACTGTAATAGTTCTTATGAAATGATTCAAGACATTACAAACCTCAATGCTTCACAGATGGTATTTACAAGATTCAAACAGGATGCTGGAAAGTTAAATTGTGGCATTTAATTACTTTCAAATGTATACAAATGTTAAGCATAAGTAGAATTTCTACAAATGTTGGTGATGGCCTCCACCAGTGACAGTGATTCTAATTTCCTATTTTAATTGGTGGCTTACTATTAGCCTGACATGCAAAGGGTTTAGAAACAATTAATTATTCAGCAAAAATCGCAACCTCCCCCTTTGTATGAATGGTGTTTATTAAATAAACACAAGATATTTTTGCTTTTTAAAAACTATGTTTCATTTTAGTGGGAAGTCACTATAAAGGATTAGGCAATAACCTGGCCTATTTTGCTCTTTTTGATGAGGTACACTCATTAATGGGTTTGGGATTTTGGTCACTCATTTCAAAAGGAAAGAAAACTAGAAAGAAGCCTTAATGTTGAGTTTCCTTCATTACTGAGGTGTCCACAAAGTGAGGTTCTACTGTCCTGTGTTTTTAACCCTAATGTCGGTCTAGCCCAGTCGGTAGCACTCTCACCTCTGAGTCAGAAGGTTATGGGTTTGAGCCCCACCTCAGGAGTTTGAACTCACAGTCTAAGATGACACTCCAGTGCAGTGGTCCATGGGGAAGTGCTGCACTGTTGGAGGTGCCGCCTTTCGAATGAGACGTTAATCCGAGGTCCTATCTGCTGTTCAGGTGGATGTTAAAGTTTTCATGGCACTATTCGAAAAGAGAGTTTCTCCCAGTGTACTGGCCAACAATCCCCCAAATTGATCATTCATTTCATGGCTGTTTGTCAACTGTGTGTAAATCGGCTGCCATGTTCGGCTACAATTACGTACTCACTACAATCCTGTGAAGCGCTTTGAGACATCTCAGTGCTTGATAAGGCGCTATATCAAATGTAAAATTATTTTATTATAAGTTTAACCCCTTTTCTAGCAATTAGATTAGGTCATTGGCAGTGTTGTGCCACAAAGCAGTTGACTATAGGAATTCCCTACACAGCAAATTCCGTCTTTGCTGAGCCACTGGCAGAGAACATGGAACTAAGTGGGGATTGGGCACCTGCCAAGCCAGTTTTTCACTTATGTCACACCCACTCTCAAGAGGTGTTTAGAGAATGCTTATAGCTGGAGCAAGTTTTCTACCCACCTTTTTGGACAGCTGAGTACTAGCTGCAACTTCAAGTGAAATAAATAACAATAATAGGCATTCTTTCTTTTGAATCCTTCAACCAACAACCCCCCATCACTCATCCCCCCACCCCGAATAGCTTTTGGATTTCACAAAAAGTCTACTCTTTCAAATAAAACTTCCAAGTGTCTTTTTTTGTGTTAATTTTCTCCTCGCCTCATCTGAACATTTGGTTCCACAGGTGATGGACTCCCCTGTTACCTTGCCCAATGGAACTTATTCACATGTGGGCCTTGATGGTGAACGTTGTCAAACTATTAATCTATACAAGGATAGCACAATAAATGAAAACCGTTTGAGATGTACATAAAATTAATGATTACTGGCACCAGAATTGTCAGTACAATTGCAATTGACTAGGTAGTTGAGTGTGATTACATTTTGCACAAATAGCACTATATTGACTCTAACGGTGTCCAATAGCAATTGTACTTCGCACACAGTATGGGGGTGGGCCAGAGGATGCTGTGGCTTCACAAAATCACATTGGTGGCCACATATGGCTACAGTGAAACACTGCTTTACGGAGTGGATGCCTCCTTATGTCATTGTGCAGGTGCCATCTGACCAGAACACTGTACAAGACTTTGGGGAATTTAAACTTCTAGCATCCCAAACATTTCTCAGAGAAAACTAACCCCCCCATGAATAACCCTCTAGTTTTGACAGGAAACATGATATATATATCATGAAGTCCTGTAACTTACTGGTTAGAGCACTCGCCTCGCAAGCAAGAGGACCGGAGTTTGAGTTTCCTTATTCCACACACCTCTCTTTACCGAGCAGTAAGTAGGAATCCAGTTGTTATCGATTGGCGGATTGCTTTTCTGGGGGTAATAATCCCTTAAAAAAAAATTATGACTAAATTCACGACTTTGTGGGACACTGCTGTACGCAATTGGCTCCCACGTTTCGCCCACAAAATATACAGTCAATTCGCTTTACAGTGTATTCTGTGAAGCGCTTTGAGACATCTCGAATTCATGATAAGGCACTATATCAATTCCAAGGATTATTATTAATATTATATTGTAACACTGCTCTGTTCCTCCACGTCCACATTTTATACAATGGTCTATGATCACCTCTGTTACCTGTTTCCTCGTCCTTTTTTATTGCCTGCATTTTGATGCCTTTCTGACACATCCACAAACTTATCATTACTGGAGTAAACAAAATCATTTAAAAATAAAATACTAAACTCCACACAGAATCAGTCATGAATTTGATTTTCTGAAAGAGAAACCACCCTGTGATGGACACAACATTTTCCAAAACCTTGAGCTGAGAACATTACCAACATTCAACAAATGAAGTTACTGTAACATGTACTAATCTCAGTCAACAAAATGATTTGAAGTGCCTAGTTAAGATTCTTGTTTGCAGTGACCCCAGAATTTTTAGATTAATATCATCCTTGCTAAACTTGAAATCTCTTCATAAATTAATCAAGAAGTTCTCAAAGATGAATAATCCAACAAAGAGTCGATTGTCACCTCTCAGGAGAGCCTCGGACTTGTTGACGTTCAACTGAAGAAAGTTAGCTCTCATCCGGGAATTGATGTCCGACAGACATTCTGTCAGGACAGCAATGGTCCTGGAATCAAGTGTGGAGGCAGAGAGGTAGAGTTGGGTGCCATCCGCATACATGTGGAAGTTGACCCCATGTCTGTGGATGATGTCACCTAGAGGGAACATATAGATATTGAAGAGGAAGGGACCAAGGACAGAGCCCTGAGGAACGCCGCACGAGACTGTGCGGGGCCTAGAGGAGAATCCGTTTGTGGAGATGAAGTGCAGGCGGT